GGTGTTTTTTCATGTCCTATGCTCTAACTACGAAAATATTTGATTTACAAATAAGGAATACTACTTCGCGGAATTTCATTTATCACGGTAGGGTCTAGAACCGATTAACCACGATAAACGAGGGTTCACTGTAATATTCTGTGGGTAAGAGAAAAAAGAAGGAAAAATAAACAGTATAGGATCGCTTTGAGTCTGAATTGATTCAATGACACTTAACAACAACCTACACCAACACCCAGCTTAAGAAATAACACACTGTTGGGACAAAAGGAATTCAGCAACATGGTGGGCTAGATATACAGGCCACACAGACCGCCTGCAACAAAGATATGAGAGATCAAGTGAAGCAGATAATAATCCTGGAACTCTGGACTTCAGAAGAAAAGATAGAGGTGGATTGAATACCAACTAGTTGTTGAACATAATGGTGAACAAAGAGACAAACTGAACACTGAGTTGTCAGCTGGCCTAACACAGCTCAGTCATTTTAAACCTTTGCGAGCAGCTTTCTGATTGAGGATGAGGCCAGATGGTGTAGCGGGTTATCCATTTGGGTGCTAACTGCAAAGTCAGCAGCCTGAAACCATCAGATACACCATGGGGCAGAGATGAGGCTTTCTACTTTCATAAAGATTTAGTCTCAGAAAGCCATAGGAGCAGTTCTCCTATGTCCTACAGGGTCACAACGAGTATAAATGGACTTGTGGGTTTGGTTTGGGTTTGTTTCTAACTGGGACAGTGACTTGACAGTAGGTTACACTTGCCCGGGTTCATTCAAGCACCCACAGCAGTAGCTGTTAACCAGAAAGGTGAGCTCTTCCCTTTGTTCCCCACACTCTCCTATTGACCAATATTGTGGGCAGTCCCCACTTTCACCCACCTGATGGTGGAAACACCACCACCTGTGTAGTCCCTGCTCCAACTGAGGTTAGAGGTGCATTCTCGTGGATTGCATATAAGGTGCAGGCATGTGCTTTCTGCTTCCTTAGGACAGCAGTACTCACAGTGCCAGACAGGTACATTGTTCCATACCACTGTACTCCAAGCCACCCTCTAGTTCTCCACAATCTCTAGGTGAATGATATGACTGGGTCATACTTAGGACATCCCCCACAGGTGTGCCCTCAGTTCACACACACAAGGGAGCAGGAGCAGACTGACAAAGGTTCAGGCCAGGAAGGAATGTAGCAGAGCAAGGGAAATCAGGTGAAACTAACAAAGGGAGGCTGAAACATCTCATGTTTTCCACGGCTACCTCCCATGTACTCCAGATGTTAGAGGCTGGGACCATACATGGGGCTTTGATGTTCTAGAACTGGCTGGGGCAAAAAAAAAAAAACCACCACTTAGATGGATTCGTTTTGTTTTATTTTATTTTTCTTGTCCTTTGCATTGATAAACTGCCATCCAAACAAAGGAGAAACCAGCTAATACCCCCGTCTCCTGACATCCATACAAGTCAGCTGTGGGATGGTAGTCTAGAGAAAATTAAATATCCTTCTTCAGATATTTAATTAATAATCAACACAAATACAAGACACCAGAGAAATAGAATATAATCCTAACTCCTCAGAGCCCCTATTGACCAAAAAAGACACCAGGTTCCACCCTCACACAACAGCAAACAAACTACACTGAGCAATGTTCTGATAAAGATACACTGGTTACTAAGAAAGAACATGGCTGCTTGTTTTGAGTGGGAGTGTGTGGGTTACTGTTCATGTGGCTGTTCAGAAGTTTGTTTTATTCTGTTACTTTCTAATATGTTGCTATTTTGTATAGCTAATGTTTGCTTTAGATTTTGTTGTTTTTCCTATTTTTTTATTTCACCACTTGATGGAGTCAACTATCCCCACACCTCAGCCATCCTCATACCCCTAACAATTGCACCATAATGTCTGGGAGACAACAGTCAATCTGTCCACACAAAGAAGTAACAAAAGCTGATACACAAGTGGCCA